ATACGGGGCCTATCGGGGTGCTACAGGGAGCCTACAGGGGGGTATTGGGGCTATAGGGGACCTACAGGTGGTATGGGGGGTATAGGGGGCCTATAGGGGGCATAGGGGCTACAGGAGGTCTATAGGGGTGCTACAGAGGACTTATAGTGTGACTGTAGGCACTCTGCGGTGCCTGTAGGTGCCGTAGGGGCACCTGAAGAAGCTACGGGGATGCTATAGGGTGTCTCTAAGCACTCTGGGGTGCCTGTAGGTGCTACGGGGTGCTATAGGGTGTTTCCAGGTGCTACGGGGTGCCTGTAAGGCCTACAGGGTGCCTGTAGGTGCTGTAGGGGTGCTATGGGGTGTCTATAGATGCTATATGGGTGCTATAGGGTGTCTCTAAGTGCTCTGAGGTGCTATAGGATCGCTCTGGGGTGCCTATTGGTGCCATAGGGTGGCTCAGAGGTGCCACGGGGTGGCTCTGGGGTGTCTATAGATGTTCTAGGGGTGCTATAGGATGTCTCTAAGCACTCTGGGGGGCCTATGGGTGCCATAGGGGGACTTGGGGGTGCCTATGGGTGCCATAGGGTTGCTCTGGGGTATCTCTAAGCACTCCAGGGTGCCTACAGGTGCCATAGGGTGGCTCTGGGGTGTCTGTGGGTGCTATAGGGTGTCTCTAAGCACTCTGGGATGCCATAGGGTGTCTATAGATGCTATAGGGGTTGCTATAGGGATGCTATAGGGTGTCTCTAAGCACTCTGGGGTGCCTATGGGTGCTATAGGGTGGCTCTAAGCACTCAGGGGTGCCATGGGGTGCCTCTAGGGTGTCTGTAGATGCTACAGGGGTGCTATAGGGTGTCTCAAAGTGCTCTGGGGTGCCTACGGGTGCTATAGGGTGGCTCTGGGGTGTCTCTCAGCGCCGTGGGGTGCCCGGGGTGCCTATGGGTGCTATAGGGTGGCTGGGGGTGGTACCTGGGGGGTAGCGCTCGTGCAGGGGGCCGCCGTCCACCTGGAGGGTGGCGTTGCCGCCGCTGCGGGGGAAGCGGGCGACGGGGGAGCGCCCGGCGCCGGC